TATAGCATAGGGATTTTTTGCAGCTTGATCGTCCACGTAGATGAATAGCCTGATAGGGAAATAATGGTTCGCATTGAGTAATCCCACGGTATAAGGTAACAGTACAAACCAATTATATAAGGCCTCAACTCTTTTCTCTTCCGTGGTGCATCCTGGATAGCATAGCTGGACCACGATTTATTCAGAAGGCTTTCCTCTTAGATATATATCGTTAACTAGCTATCTTACCTCGATGAGACTCGCCGCTAAATTAAGGGTCCTCCGGAGCTGTTGGCATTCTAGTCCTCGAGCAGTCATAAAATTTATCATGGAGTTCTCCAGCTCTTCATTTCGTGGGTTGATATCGAGAGGGACATAATTCATATCAGCCAGGAATTGTTTAATCAATGAAGTTATCGTTTCTGTTTAAGTCTGGGTCAGATCTGGCTTTGGCTTCGATTGGATTTCACCGACCTGTTTGTGTTGTGTTGGCTCCTCCATCGATCCCTAAGGACGGAAGAGAGAGTGCTTGCTGGATAGAGGGCATTCTAAAGAGTGATTTCGATAGTCGTTGCTGGTGCGCAATGACTACCTTTATATAAACAAGTCAGTGCATCGATCAAAAGTTACTTTTCGTTAAAGTTCTTTCGGATATTCTATTTTAAAAAAGTATTGGTATCTCGGAAGGAAAGTGTCAGGCACAGACCACACTTTTTGACGATTAATCGCGGATCGAGTTTCCCTGTGCTGGCGGTAAGGATAGAGTTCCGTCAAAGCTCTGAGAAAACGAAAATATGGTTTAAATCCGGAAGAAGAAGACTTACATGATATGACATGTATCATAGACTCCAGGTAGTCATGATAGCAAAAAAAAAAGATATCCAGTGTCCCTGGTATTCGACAGTATAAAATCCCACATACGATTAGATTTACAAGCACTACTACCTTTAAGCTACTAACATAGCAAAATGGATGCAGCCAGAGTCGCGCATGCTTGAAGAAAGTTTACTAAGTCGGAGGTTCGAGTAATGGGTTCGAGTTGGTGACTGCGAAACAACCGCTTCCGAGTAGCCGACGGTGTCGTCACATATGAGTTCGGCGTCACGTCTGTCTCCGATCGAAAACCGACTGTTATTTTATTTTATTAAGCTACAGCCACGACACTTACTTCTTCGTCAGTAGATTTTATGTAAATCTGCCAGTCCCTCTGTTCGCAGTTCCTCTTCGACATCCTTGATCGTCCTGTCTCCAATCCCACGAATAGGGTTTCCGACTCGGAGTCATCTTCTAAAGAGATGTTGTCTTTTCTAGGTTCTAACAACTTTACTGTGCATCGGCGTCGCCTCTCAATCTATGCTTGCATTCTAGACGGACTAATTCCCGTTAAGTATTCCTGATACCAACTACCGAATTATGTTCACGATGCATCAAGCATCAAGAACCAGTGACTGAGCGCCAATATTAGATATAGTGAGCGGATAACACTTTTACCCTCGCAGCGGGAAGAAAGTTTAAGACCTAGTCGAACTTCTTATCTCCTCATTCTTCTAAATCATCTCATCATTTTCATACACAAGACTATAAGTAGCAGCAGTATCTTTAGCCTCAGAAGATGCGCTACAGGAATTACTGCCTGCCTTGCGTTCTCTGTATAAAGTTGAGAACCTATTCTTTGCGGAGGGAATTTACTAGTTGCCTCATTAATCACATACTTTCTACAGTTATCTACTGGTTCTCCTTCCCAGGTAGTCCCAACCTCAGGTACTACCTCTATACTTAAATTAAATTAAGAATGCCGGGCTCATCCTGAGTATTCACCGGTTCAGAAATTTTCGAAGATGCAGCCACTCTGTAGATAAAGTTCCGATATCGCTTATATTGCTTTCCGGGGTTTCGATTCTTATTAGTAGATGCGATTCGGAGCACACGTTTGAAAAGATTGAAACTAACTAGACTGCGGGTAATGCACATTTTCTCCGGAACCCCCTGCAAGAATGGTATAACTATCTATGTAAAATCATCTCAACGATTATGGATTACAGGTGAGGTCAATTCGACAACGCATAGAAGCTTGTGCAGTGTAATTATACTACGTACTATTAAAGTTACTAATGTCATCGTACTCTCTCCAAGTTGGGGTATATTAAATTACCCTTAAGCTCCAGAATCACTCGCGAACCGTGCAAAGCCCATCAACGGTTTTGAATATTGAGAGAATATTATAGATATTTCCAGCATGATACATAATACAGTATACCTAATATAAACTTGGATTTGAGTCAAAAAAGGGCCTAGCCGGGAATTGAACCCGGGACCTCCTCCATAAGCTTCAACATGTTGTCAAATACCCTAAGAAGGAATCATACCTCTAGACCACCAGGCCCTAGGTTTTGAGCCCTTTAATCTCTTCCATACATTCTGCCTACAGTATTTCTTTCATCGTTTCCCACCAACAGGCGCCTATTTTCATGGCTCTCTCTTCGAGCATGGCCAGCTTGAAGAAACGCAAGAGCACCGCGCAATCTACTACCTTGCTTGACTATTTTGGCTCCTCTTCGAAGAAATCACGCATTGGACACTCATCTTCTCAAGCTAAAGCAGATGGTGTATCTCTCCGCCAGCCAAGATGGCAGCCTGAAGACATTATCGTGATCACGGATGACGAAGAGGAAGAGGATGTAAGAGTGATTGAAGAAACTGTTTGTATTGAATCCAACTCGAAGATTTCATGTATTGAAGAAGAGCGGAATGCAGCAAATGGTCAGCGACGCCAAGAGGAACTGGTGTCTCCAAGAGCCCTAGGAACAGCTGAAGATCACGCGACGCTGGATATGGACGAAGAAAGGACTTTACAGGATGACTATTGGGCTATGGGAGATGATGAAAACGTTGTGCAAGTGGAAGAAGATGATATCATGACAAACGACGAAAGACCAGAACTGTGTGGAGGTAGTAATAGGGATGAAGAAAGCAAATGCCCCGTCTGTGACAAGGATCTCAAGGGAATGTCCGCAACAGTGATTACTCCGCTCCATGCTACTGTTTAACTATTCTGATCTGAATGTCGTTTCTTAGGAAATTGAACGACACGTCAATGATTGTTTGGACGCAATATGCTCGAGTCCCCACTCTCCTGAAAACAATAAAATGACCGTGAAGATTGAAAATACCATCGAACTTCCCTTGGAAGATTTACCTTTGAACATCGAGACAAAACGCTTGAATACTGCATTCTCCGTTTTAATGTCCAGTCATAAGGAGAACGACGCCTGGAATGAGGCCACTGCAGCTGAGAGCATGAAGGGCAAAATAAAAGGAAGGAGACCCGCGCCTTTTTATAAAGTCTGGCAATTTTCTATAGCTTCATGGCATAATTTTGACCATTAAAATAGGTAATGCAAGGCATGCCGATTGCTGTGGATGCCTTCCGTTATGGCAAGATACCCAGCGTAACAGCTTATTTCCTCACGTATGGAGTTCTGTTCAGCCTCTAATTTTCGCTAATACACCGTATAGCCACGCACATTCTGATCATTATACTAATTTATCTTCTTCGTGGAAGAATGGACCTATTTATTGCTCCCAGACGACCGCTAAACTTATTATTCATATGTTAAAGGTCGACTCCAAGTGGGTTGTACCTCTACCGATGGATGTTCCAACAATAGTCCCAGACACGGGAGGTGTAAAAGTTACTTTGATTCAGGCAAATCACTGTCAGTGGCTTCAACATCGGAAGACTATAATTTAGATGCTAACCATTTCTATATGATTTAGGTCCAGGCTCTGTATTATTTTTATTTGAAGGCCCACAAACGGCGGATGCAGGTGATAGTGCATATAAATCGTCTTTCGTCGGCTCATCTCGAGTATTTCGCTATCTGCATTGTGGCGATTTTCGAGCTTGTCCGCGGCATGTGCTTCATACCGAAATTAAGGGAAAGAAGCTTGATACCATATACCTCGATACCACATACTTAGATCCCAAGGTACGAGGACATTTGAATCAGTCAAGAAAAAGCACCTGATTGTTTACCTCTTAGTACTGCTTTCCCCCTCAACCTCTTGTAATTTCGGCCTGTGCTGAACTGGCGCGGCGACTAGTGGAGTCCGGTAGCGCAACTAATGCTAAAGATTCTGGAAACAAATCATTAAGCGGTTGGCTGTCTCGTTCCGATAAGGGTAAAGAAAGGGCAGACCAGAATATTAAACCTGAAAAGGTGCTTGTGGTTGTAGGGTATGTCAACGACCTGAATGCGGCATCGGATGGCACAAACCTTATTTAAAATTTTGCTAGAACATATACCATCGGCAAGGAGCGTATCGTGAAAGGTAAGATTTGCGAAACGCCGAAGTCTGAAAAGCCGATTGCTCTAACTTCTTTTTGACAGCAATTGCGAAGGAACTATCGACGAAAATTTATTGCGACGCACGGAAGGTCGCAGTTCTGAAATGTCAATCTGACCCGGAGCTCCATGCTCTATTGACCGATAAACCTCTAGAGGCAGGAGTTCATATCGTACCATTACATATGATTTCCTCAGACCGCATAGACGAATACCTTTCTCAATGGAGCGATACATGGACAAAGGCAGTCGCGTTTAGACCTACGGGATGGACTTATACATCCCCCAGCTCCTCTGACACACTTCCGAACATATCACATATTATTTCTCGTGACCAGGCACGGACATTCACTTACACGAATCTTCGGCCTATGAGAAATTCGACGCCGCGCACCATGTTATATGGCGTACCATACTCCGAACATTCGTCATTCTTCGAACTTACTTGCTTTGCGCTTAGCCTGGACTGGACTAAGATGATTGCCACCGTCAACGTTGGAAATTCGAGATCAAGAGGCAAGATGGAGAAGTGGTTTGAGAAGTGGAAGGTAGAGAGGACGAAACGACCAAAGACGGAGGATGGTCGAGAAATGGTTGGATATCGAGATCTAGATTATTGGTAATCTAACTGTATGTACTTATATTCTGTTCGTTTATGTTCAGATGCACACCGAATCCTTGCATCAAACCTTCCGTGATGGCGTCTACGAGTGTATTCGGTGTCAGATACATTCGATTTCGTGCTGTTTGCTATGCCTCATTGAATATACTAAACTACCTCTATCTTGACAATATTCAATATGATAACAGAGTCCAGACAGATGAAGTACGTAAACTTAATATTTTCTCTAAAATTTCATCATTTGAATTATTCAATAACCTGTAGAAGTCTCTTTCCTTTTTTTATAATTTGTCAACGACAATAGAAGCGCTACTTTTAAACTCCGACAGTCGCAATGCTTAGCCATCATCTAGGAATATGACGCAAATGTTCAGGGAACCCTATTCTTCATTTGTCAGACACTGCGTTGGCCTATGAGAGGTTTCGGCCAATCGGCATCTGTCTGCAATAACGCCAACTGCCCCTTATTTGTCGGGATGCAGAGTCTCATGCGGTATGCCGCGACATCATTTTAGCTATGCGTCAACTCCTGACTATTGCTAGTGTTTTGATAACGATAAGCTCATACAGGAAGTAACGAGCCGAAGCCTTCATAATTCTGGAAAGCGATTGCATCATGGGATAACGCTCCTTCGGTCCATTTAAGACGAGAAGGAATTGGGAGGACCGGACAAGCTCGAATTGCCTCTTTCAGCTTCTTCTGCATCTTCCATTATACACAATGTCTCCTCCCGCTGGTCAAACTATCACCACCACTGAATCCCTCGCCAATGACACTGTCAAATTGACGCTGTCTGGCAAGGTCGGTGCAATGTCTTTATTCTAAACCAATAAATTTCCAACACGCCTTCACAGGAATCCAGTGGACCCTCCTATCCCTTCTATTATCCATACTTCGACGCAAATGAGAAGTTCCCTCCTACTGAACTTTTCGGTAACTAACAGTTCACTTAGTATGTGACTCGAGTTGGTTTAACGATGTGCATATAGAGCACACTGATCCCGGCTCGCGTGCTGACAAGGCCAAGCCCAACTTGTTGAAGAACGCCACCACGACTGACTTGAACCCTTACTTGGGTACCGTCGTCGAAGGCGTCCAAATCAGCCAGCTTAGCAAGGAAGGCCTTGACGAGCTCGCACTCTATACTGCTGAACGCAAGGTCTTGCTTTTCCGTGATCAAGACTTCAAGGACCTGGCCCCTGAGAGGCAAATTGAAATCGCCAGGTTCGTTTACCCTGTTAATCTCTGCATGCTTTAGGATGCTAATTTTGGTTCTAGGCACTTTGGACCTATCCAAAGGCATCCCACTTCTGGAAATGTCAAGGGCTTCCCTGAATTCCATGTTGGTCAGTGACTTTATTCGATTTATTCTTCGATTTGCGGAGTGCTCACTGCCTGTGGATTATAGTTTACCGCGATAAAGACAACAACCGTTTCCGTGAATACCTTGGTGGGAACCGCCTCAGCCGTACCAGCTGGCATTCAGACGTCGTAAGTAATTATTTTATATTTTAATGCACATTTGTAAAAATACCTTTAATCTAGACATACGAGAAACAAACTCCCGGTACCACTTTCTTCTTCATTTTGGACCAACCTGAAGTTGGAGGTGATACGCTTTTCCTCAACCAAGCTGAGGCCTACAACCGTTTGTCGCCCGGATTCAAGAAGCTCCTCGAGGGCTTGAAGGCCGTCCACTCAGCCGTCGCTCAGGCCGAGCACTCTCGCGGCCGTGGCGGACCCGTCAGGCGTGAGCCCGTCGAGACTGAGCATCCTGTCGTTCGCGTTGTGAGCACTGAAATCTCCATTCCCAATACTTCGGACTAAATGGCGTCATAGCACCCCGTCACCGGTGAAAAGGCTCTCTTCGTCAACCAGGGCTTCACTCGCCGCATTGTCGGATTCAAGGATGAAGAATCCAAGTGGCTCTTGGATTTCTTGTTCGACCATATCGCCAAGGTTTGCATTTCCTTCGCATTGGGTTCTCGGATACTTATCTCACCTAATTCAACAGGGCGCAGACTTCCACGCCAGGGCCACCTACAAACCCGGAACTGTCGTTGTTTGGGACAACCGTGTTACAGCTCACTCTGCCACCGGTGACTTCTCAGAAGATATTCGGCGCCACGCTGTCAGGCTTACTCCTCAAGCCGAAGTCCCCATTCCCGCAACCGCATAATGAGGCTTTCCCTACTTACATCATTACAATATGTAAAATCTGTGTCACTGTTTGAAATGTACTTTTGTATTTGAATTCATTCTTTGGGTTATATAATGATCATGATCAACCTCGGGAGCTGGCTGCTTCACTGGAAGCACCAAGGGATTTTCTGCCAAGAAAAACATTAAGAAAATCTTAGAAGTCAACCCCATTTATTTAGTGTTCTCCCAAACATTGAAGGAAAACCAAAAAA